TATAATTAACAAGCAAACTTTGGTCAATATTTATTTGTAAGGAAGTAGTAAAGATTTTATATTGAAAGGTTATTAACCCTCACCGGACATATTATTAGGTATATCTTACAGTGTGAACTTACACTGGCTCATGGTTGTGTTACAATTATCATGGCAGCAATGCGGTTCAATTCGATATCTAGGTGCACTGATGATGCTTTCCATACTGTTTTATATTTTCTTTACTGCAGCAATTTATGTATTAAAATGTATAAATACATTTATATTTATATATTATTTGTAATACACTTTTGTCCTTTAATACAGTCAGGTATATAAGCTGCACCTTTAAAAACTCAAGTACATGCACAGAACAATATGAGCATTTATAACAAATAAACATATACACATATACTTTCTGAGCCTTGTCTAGAGAGTTCTTTCCTACACCCCAATGATTGGTCAGATGCTAAACAGAAAGGGCTGTGATTGGCTCTTACGGCCTGGCGCTGTTTACGGCGGCAGCAATCACGACTAATCCATGATAGACGAGGAGGAGAAAACTCACTCTGCAGACACACTCATGTTTGTATCCAGAAGTATCCCTTTAACAGCCGAGATGAGAGGAAAAGTAACGCTAGCAAGTCAAATGGGACAGAGTGAGAAATGAAAGAGAGAAATTAAGTTTACTTTTATTTCGCAGTGAAATAGGGGCTTCTGCTTTAAGTGTCAATGAAAGACTTTTCAGCAAAAACACACTTAGTGAAATCGATGCCCTCGATGGTACTCTATTGGATTGATGTCTGGTGACTGTGGAGGCCATTTGAGTACAGTGAACTCACTGTCATGTTCAAGAAACCAGTCTGAGATAATTCACACTTTATGACATGGCATGTTATCCTGCTGGAAGTAGCCATCAGAAGATGGGTACACTGTGTCATAAAAAGATAAACATGGTCAGCAACAATACTCAGGTAGGCTGTGGTGTTGACACAATGCTCAATTGGTCCTAATGGGCCTGAAGTGTGCTGAGAAAATATCCACCACACCATTACACCACCAGCAGCAGCTTGAATTGTTGATACAAGACAGGATGGATCCATGTTTCCATGTTGTTGATGCCAAATTCTGACCCTACCATCTGAATGTCGCAGCAGAAGTCGAGACTCCTCAGACCAGGGAACGTTTTTCCAATCTTCTATCTTCTATTTTTGGTGAGCCTGTGCAAATTGTAGCCTCAGATTCCTGTTCTTAGCTGACAGGAGTGGCACCCGGTGTAGTCTTCTGCTGTTCAACGTGTTGTACAGGATGGGCCATTTATATGGATACACTTTAATAAACTTATTGGGGATTTCACAAGAAAAAACAATAGTGTGCTTGGTTTTAATGTAACTTTATTCTTTCATGAGTTATTTACAAGCCCCCTCACTTATACTAATGTGCCACAAACAGGACGTTAATAACACCAACCATTCCCGTTTTATTAAGGTTTATCCATATAAATGGCCCACCCTGTACATTCAGAGATGCACTAATGCATACTTTGGGTGTAAGGAGAAGTTATTTGAGTTACTGTTGCCTTTCCATCAGCTGGAACCAGTCTGGCCATTCTCCTCTGACATCAACAAGGCATTTGCACCCACAGAACTCTGTAAACCCTAGAGATGGCTGTGCGTGAAAATCCCAGTAGATCTGCAGTTTCTGAAATACTCAGACCAGCCTGTCTGTCACCAACAAACATGCCACATTCAAAGTCACTTTAATCACCTTCCTTCCCCATTCTGATTCTCGCTTTGAACTGCAGCAGATCGTCTTGAGCGTGTCTACATGCCTAAATGCATTGAGTTGCTGCCATGTGATTGGCTAATCAGAAATCTGGGATAACAAGCAGCTGGACAGGTGTACCTAATAAAGTGGCCAGTAAACTTTAACTCTCAACAAGAGGCAGCCAACAAATGCAATCAGCGGCACACTCATCTATATTAAGAAATATATATATACTACAAGATTTTCACAGCTGGAACTTTTAAACACAGAGTAATGTAGTTTTCTTGGTAATGACAGTGTAAAATAATGTCCGTTTCACCCTCAGGGAGATGTGGGCCACCACCCAATGTGACCAATGGAGACACAATAGAAATGACCAAAAAAGAATATTTTTCAAGTGAAAATGTTGAATACAGATGCTTCAGTAAATACGTGCTTGATGATAGTCCATCTTACTCCAGTCACATGACCTGCCAGTATGGCGAATGGATTGGGAAAATTAACTGTTTGAGTAAGTATGAACACACTACAGAGCAAGTAGTGGTTTTATCCTTTTTTGTAGGTTTGACTCCATCTTAAAAATGATGGTGGGTGAATGACTCAATGGATGTATACTGTTAGTGTCACTGACAGTTTTTTTTTTTTTTTGTGTGTGTGTGTGATGGAATTGTTTCAGAGCCCTGTATGGTGACAGTGGAGGAAATGGATGAAAAAGGTATAACATTGAGGTGGGGTCCAAAGCACAAGATATTCTCAGAACACAAGGAATACATTGCCTTTACATGTCAGAAAGGCAAAATGATTGGCAGCTCAAGACAAATGTGCAACGATGGTGTGATGACTTTGCCAATGTGCGTGTGACAGTAGGAACATTGCTAAAGAATCAGATGAGTTTCTTTGCAGTTCACCTTTAGAAATATTTAAATAAAAGAATGCTAAGAAAAACATTTAAAAACTGCATATATGATTGCATGTATGAAGAATATTTTTACTATCGAGCAATTACATAAGAAAAACAAAATAAGTGTAAATAAATATTTCTTTTTACTTTTACATTGTGCCATTTCACAAAATATTGTGCATTTTGTGTTATTTAATATTTTTAAATGACTTTTGTGACTCAACAAAAGTTTCACACCTGCTATTAAAGTCATGTGTTCTTGTTTCGGTTCAAATTTTTGTCACACAATTTTAATTTTTTAATTACCGCAAGGGACCTTTTACGATGAGTTCGGATTGACGACAATACAATTGAATATATTCCGTTCGAACTATAAAGAACCACCTTTACCTTCTGAGCTCCTTCATAAACACAGTGAACTACCAGTCAAAAGTTTGAGTTTTTTTTTTCATTACTTTAAGAAACTTACTCTGTTCATCATGGCGGCATTTATTAAAATGTAAAAAAAAATAATAATTTAATTGGTAAATAATTATAATTTTTTTATTGCTTTTAGAGCTATTACCATTAATAATAATAATAATAATAGTTAATATTAGAGTGATTTCTGAAGGATCATGTGACTCTGAAGACTGAAGTAATGAAGCTGAAAAAACCTCTTCAAAATCACTGAAATAAATTATTAAATGAAATTATACTACTTTTTAACAGTTATTTTATAGTGCAATAACATTTCACAATTGTAAAAATTGTACTGTATTATAAATTAAATACATGCAGCCTGTCTTTCCATGTGATGAGTTCCTGATCATTTGCATAATGATTGTATAGAAAAACACCGAATATAATTTATTTCGATGGGTATTGAGTTGATTGGAAATAAAGTATCTATATTTTTATTAGTTGATGCATAGAGTAGCCTTTTCAAAAAGTGAATTTAATTGATTTGGTAGTTTCAATACATTGTTCACTAGCAATATTAGATTAAAAAGTTCAGAGAAAGCCAATACCAATCCACAGACCCTCAGTCATAGAAGTGGCTGAAAGAGACATTAAATAAGGTGTGAACTGTAATGTTTACTTTGTTCACTTGTGATGAGAAAAACACAAACGCATCTTAATACCCGGTGTGAAGTGAACAGGGCCTAAGCAAACCGTAGCAGAAATAAATTTTGGTATAAAAAAACAAAAAAAAAAAAAAAAGTGAGGCAGATGAGAACAGCTGCCCAACACCACTTAATTCAGCAATTAAAATCTTTGTATTACAAATAAATAATTTTGTTAGCATATTTATGTCATATTAAGTGAACACAAAACATGATAAACTACAAAGCTGTTTATCATAAAACAAATACTGACAGGGCTGGGGCTCTCCTAATATCCTGAGGGAGTTCATTTAGCAATAAGGCAAAATAATATAATCAGTGACTTATAATTCCATAAAGATGACTGGAATTAGGAATTGATTTAGATTGGAATTAATTAATCAGCTTACCTGAAGAAAACAAGACGGCTATGTAAAAATCTGGTCACAGTGTCGGTTAGCCTACCTGGCTTCTTTTGTCTGAAATATTTAAAATACAGAGAAAACCAGTTCTCGCAAATAGTAACGTAACGTCAAATTATTTGAGCATTTAATAGTCTCAAAAGTTTTTAATTACTTTACCTCGGGTTTCGCCTTGCGGGATCAACAAAACATCCTGAACAGCTTTATAAAGGCAAGCTTCTTGATGGGATTCCGTTGGTAACGTTAGTTTTCATTTCAAACCTTTGCCTGGTAAAGTCTCGTTCGCATCATTTAAATGTCAAAACAATCGTATGGAAAATTCTAAACTATTTAGGGCTAATTCGACTAATTTTAGACTAAAAAAGCTCAAAAACAACCGAGAAACAAGAAATCCCTCTTTACGCCAAAACTAATAATACTTAGGTGGGCAACGGCGCTAGTGTGCTCACCACACACAGCTATAGATGGAGTGAAGAAACAATGATAGAGCCAATTCAATGGATGGTGATGATAGGGTGGTCATGATGGGTAAGGGCAGATGAAGGGAATTTGGCCAGGACACTGGGGTTACACCACAACTCTTTACAAGAAGTGCCATGGGATTTTTAATGACCACAGAGAGTCAAGACCTCGTTTAACGTCTCATCCGAGCATGGTTAACATTATCTGACATTAACTAAAATATCGTATGTTGTGTTTTTAACAGAACAAAAAAAAAAAAAAAACTCAAACTGGTCTGTGGTCAAGGGCGAGTAAATGACAGAATAAAAAAAAAAAAAATATATATATATATATATATATACAATATATATATATATACAAAATAATTTCAGACAAAACAGCAACTGCAAATGGGAAAAGCTGTGGTTTTTTTAATGTTCAATTAAAATGCGTAAAAAGCACTTGTATTTACAGCATATAAGAGCTAACATGAGCATCTCAGTACAGACCATAATATGCACAGATAGCATTCGTCCACAACATTTGAGTGATAATGTAATAAAAACATATACACAATGCAAAGAATGCACAATATTTACAAGCCTAACACACTTTTGAAAAACAATAAAACACATTGCCGTTTTTTTAGCTTCAATATTTTCAAGGCACAATAGCAAGAGCATTAGCCAGTATCTGAATAGCACGGAGAGGATCCACAATGTCCTTCATTTTGTCACGCCGTAAAACCCAGTCTGGAGCAAACCTGGGGAAATCAAATGTTTGGCAAAGTTAGTTTATTCCATACAGCCTTCTATGTATTTTGAAATACTTTATTTTAATGGTCCCCTAGCAGACATTTTACTGACTATTAAAGTATTTCATCATAACCTTCCAACGCTAATGTGAACTAGCTAGAAAAAAATGTCACTAAGAGTCAACAGAATGTCTAAATGGGACCAAATAAATAAAGTTTAACCAATGTTTTATTCTGTAGATATCAGAAAAAGCTGCATACCTGGCCACTGGTTTTGATTTACGAGGGGTGGCCTGGAGAAGAAAACTTCCATTGAGAGAAGTGTTCATTTTCTGCTTGACTTTGTTTCTCTCAGCATCCATCTTACATTTTCGAAGAGTGAGTCGGTAGATGCTGCGAATTCGATCCATAACCTTTGGAAGCCTTCGAATCTCCTGTATAAGCAAGACATCGAAAAAATGAAAACTGATAAAAGGTTCTATAAAAAGTGATCATGTCGAGTCTAACATTTACTGCGCACTAGAGCTGTGCAATGTGACTGTTCTGTCTGGTTCTTAAATCTGATTGGCTGATAGCCATGCAATATTCTGCAAATAACAGCACTCTTACCACCTCTTCACACTTCACCCTTGTGTAATACTTCACCCACATACAGCAACAAGCAGAGGACACTCTACAGTTTGAGAAATATTGCTGCTGTTGGACAACATCATGTACTTTTGAGGCTTTATTAGGCGAGAATGAAGTTGAGATTGCAACTATGCAGTTTATATTGACAAATATGCAGTTTATATTTCTACATTCATAACCAAATATTTACCCTGAAGTTCTAAATAAAGTGAAAAAAAAAGAGAATCACATATGAATGAGCACATTTGAGTATATACTTTAAATTGAAAAATAATAATGTGAATAATAGGAAGAAAATAATAAGAATCTCTATATTGTGATATACAGTAGTCAACTTTTGAAGTGGATCAAAAACTTTTCATCAAAGACATCCTAAAACTATTGAACTCCCATCCTTGTCCTAGAAAAAAAAAATTCATCTTTTTTTGACCCTCTTCAAAAACTACTGCATGTAGTTATCAATAGTTATATTTCCATCCAAATATGCAAATTAAATGTATGCGCATAACTGGAATATCACATGTAGGACATGCGAATAAAGCAGCGTTTTTTTTTATCCAATGAGTCAAAGAAAACAAAATTGTTACTTTTTGATTAAGTCGCCAAATATCAAATAGTATTTGCTGTGGTCGGAGAAGCTGCGGGAATCTTTTCTTTATTTAATAAATGACCTGCGCCTCAAAAGGCAGTATACCGACACGCAATGAATATGTGGTGGTGTTTGAAGACGTGAGACGCGGAGCACAGAGGCTCTCCACAATTCTAGAGGTAACTAATAATATAATAACACTAATACTGGTGTTTTAGAATGGCCAAAACGACATTTAAACTGTTTAACAATGTGCTCAGCCTGCTGGTTTGTCCATTCACACATATTTTTACCATCACATGACCTCTTATAACAAATCACATGACTATGCGTATACTAGAATTTGCTCAGTAAAAGTGTTATTGTAGTTTAGACGCATCTTTACTTGTCGAATTAAAAGTTCATCCTACTCAGTTATGCGCATGTTATTTATGCGCATTTTCAAAATGTTTGTGCACCTACACGTTTCCATCAACCAATTTTAAGCGCATATACAAAATGTGCAACAAAACAGGTGGACGGACACATAGCTAGTATATGAGATAAGATCTTGTGATGAGATATTTGTTATGTCGTCAAGCCCTACTAAAAATAGTTCTTTGAAAAAAACAACTACCCACCATTGCTCTTCTCTCATCCTGGACTAAAAGAACCAAAAGAAAGCAAGTCTTGGTGAAGATGCTGCCGCCTTTATCTGCAACCTTATCTCCAGCTTTCTCTCGGTAAATCTGCAGAAGATCCAGTAGGGTTTCTACAGAGTTGTCCACATCATAAACGGCATCAATGGTTCTGTGGTACTGAAAAAGAAATAAAACGAATATCAAAAACCTGCATATTTACACTAATTAATTAAACTTACTCCGAACTTAATCAGGCAACATACTTTTGATAAGTTGAGGAGGACTTGGATGGATAATGTGATGATCTCCATTGAAGGCACACTTCGGTTGCAGCTCCTTATCAAAGTAAAAATGGTGTGTGTTGCTCCACTTTCCACAAGACGTTCACAACACTCTGGAGAAAGCCTGGTGGCAGTTTCTACAGTAATGACAAAAATGATAATGTTAGTGTTAATTTTATAAGAGTGTCAAGCTCAGAATTTTAAAACTTTAAGTGTCTTACCCAAGTGTTTCAATGCTGCAAGTATGAAAGCATAATTCTGGAGTCCTAGCAGGTAAGTCAGCGCTGTTGTGGTCTTGTTACACAGCTTGTCCTCTTCCTTCACCCTTTGATTTACTTCTCTGAGACGCTGCCGCATGGAAATGACTTTGTTCGTATCATGAAGTTTTCTTGAACAATGACCCCTCCAGAGTGCCTTAAAACAATTAATCACATTAGAAAAAAGTTCAAATTAAAGCCCTATCCCAATTGTTTACCTCTACTCCTTGGCCCTTGAAACAGAGTGTAAATGTGGAAGAGCTTCAAATGTTACCGCTAAGAAATGGAACACATCTACAACACCCGCACAAGTCAACATGTCATCGTGATCTCTTACTTCATATGAAATCTGTGATGGCAACTGTAGTTATTCCAGTTGCGTTATTTTTGATATTTATTGTCAGGAAAGGTGAAGATAACAATTTTATGTTATCATAATGATATAATGTGGCAATAAGATTGAAACTATACTGTGCATTTATACAGTAGCCATAATCATCTAAACAACATTATATAATGTTAAACAACATTAACATTATAGTAGACACTGTAAAAAGCTCATTCCCAGCCACAAGACTTTTCTGACAGGGTATTTGAGTGTCATCAAGTGACAGACGTGAAAGTATGTTGTGGAACTGCAATGCAAGTTATTATTATGGATTATAATTAGCGAAATTTAGCACTTTTTTTAAGCAAGCATTTTAAAACACGAACGCTATGAATGCATTAAAACACATGCTTGTTTGTTGTAAAAACTCGTAATGATAATGGCAAAAAAAAAAAAAACTAATTTGTGCATCTCTATACTTTCTTGTGCAGCCATGTATTCTGGGAAATTTTCATACCCCATTGTTTCGAGTGTGGTCCAGACAAATCTCTGTTTTGAGGGCTATAGCCCTTTCCCTTAGCCCTACGCCAGCAGTTCCCAAACTGATGTGAGTGCACCCATAGGTCTGACCACCAGGGGTGCGCAAGAGAATGTTTGAAATGGCGGAAAAAAAAATATATATATATATTTTATGCATTTATCTTGGGTAAACTTCACATTTCATATTTTTGAGTAAAAATAGATTCACAGAGACAAAAAAAAAAAAAAAAAATCACAATACAAATTGTAATTTACAGCCTATACATAATCATGTCGCGATTTCACATCTGCATCACAATAGCCCCGCCCTTTCACATTAGGCACGCTAAGTGACAGTACATTTGAATTTTTTCCCGCTTACTATATTCATTAAAATGGACACCATGTTAAAAACTGGCACTTTAAAGAAGTCAAGTGACAGTATAAACCATCTACATTGGCCTCTTCTGTAGAGATGTGCAGCGGCCTTGAATGTATGGACTCGGAGGATAACGAATGAGTTGAAAAGGTGCAGGCGGGAACAGAGAAATCCAGCTGAGATGTACTGATTAAAAAAATTAGGCTTACGCTGGAGAGTGAGAAAATGTCAAGTAAGAAATGGTTTCGGGTTTACATGGACTGGAGGTGCAGAAAATCCATATCTGCAATGGGTAGCCTGTGGTGAGGTTTTAGCTAACAGCAGTCTTAAGCCTTCATGTATGGTCCGGCAATTACAAATATGTGTGTTAAGACAGGTTTAACTTATTAAAAAGGGGTGCACACAGCAAAAAGTTTGGGTGCCACTGCCCACCGCCTTCAAGCTAAGGAGAATTGTGACACCCCTACCCCTTTATGTGAACGAGCAAAATGAGGGGTATGGCAAAAGGGTAAAGGCTAGAATTGGGATTGGGCCTAACAGTTTGTTTTCATTTGGGTTTTTTAATGCCATATCAGCTTTTATATCCATATGCAAACTACATTTAATTCAATGTTATTCAAATTTTCTTTAATAGTGTTGACAGGGCAAAATAGCTTAAAAAACTCTAAATTTTGTTATCCTTTACTCACTTTTTTTTAAAACCTGCTTGTCTTTCTGTTGTCCGATGAACAAAAAATAATATATTTTGAAGAAAGCTAAAAACTTGTAACCACTGACTTCCATAGTAGGAAAAACAAACGCTGTGGAAGTCTGTGGTTACAGGTTTTCAGCTTTCTTCAAAATATGTCATGTTCTAAAGAAAAAAGTAACTTAAAGTTAACTATCATTTTAAAGCCAAGACAATACAATGAAAAAAATGCTTTGGCGACAAGCTATTGACAGAAAGAACATTCTAGTGGATGCTTTCCTGGTATTAAAAATGTGTATGCATTTTTGTGAGCTGTTCATACAAAATAAAATAATTGTATGGAAAAGGCCAAGATTGAAAATAAAAAAATAAGAGTTTGAGAAAACTTGCAAATTTAAATGAAAAATAATAAAGGATTTAACATGTCAAAGCATACAAATTTTTCCATATTAAATAGCACTTTCCATTTAGAATAATCAGTTTTTTTTTCCCCTTATGCCATACCTGTGCCCTTATTATACCACGTTGTAGCCTCTCCTTGCGACGTCTAAAAAGCAGCTTCCTGACTGCGTGCTGGATAATAGAGGCAGCCTGGTTGCGGCGATGTAACCAAGATCTCACTGCTCTCTGGGTCTTGATGATGTCTTCTCTGTCTTTTAGATATTTCTTTCTCTGCAGTTTTGCCCTAAAACATTGCTGGAAAGTTGGGGGAAAGAAAGATAAATGCACATTTACATTAAAAGTGTTCATCATGAGCAAAATTTAAAATAAGCTAATGCTCAATACTTCTGTTACGCATGCACAATGGTACCTTTGGCTAGCAAAGTCATTGCAATTATGTAGCAAAACTATGATGCAACTAAAACAACAATTAGATTGCTTAAAATGGTATTGTTTTTAAAACCAGTATCTGAGATTTTTTTTTTTTTAAGTTTTCATAAGTTAAAACCTTTTCAGACCCTATTTAGACCTGATTTTAGTGTCACCTGATTTTAGTGTAAATGATATTTACTTACATTAGCTTTATTAACATCCACCAATTTTTATGTAAAAAAAAGCTAAAGTCCTTAAATCACTTGTAAACAATCAATTATAAATAAATAAATAATATTATGTCAAAATTTCAATCAGGTTTCAGAAAGCAACACAGCACTATTACAGCGGTTTTAAAGGTATTAAATGATTTTATTGATTCTGTGGACACTCAAAAACATTGTGCAGCCCTGTTTGTTGACCTCTCCAAAGCTTTTGATACAGTGGATCATACTTTGTTGTTACAACGCCTCAAAAGTATTGGTTTATCTGATCATGCTATTGGTTGGTTCAATAACTATCTTACAAATCGAAATCAATGTGTGCAAGTGGATGGCCTTGTTTCTAGTACTTTGAATGTAACTAAAGGTGTTCCACAGGGTTCAGTATTGGGGCCTCTTCTTTTTACTATATATGTAAATAATATTGATCAAAATATCAAAAATGCCAATTTTCATTATTATGCGGATGATACAGTTATATACACGGCTGCATCTTCACCTAATCTGGCCCTTTCTCAACTGCAGATCGCTTTCAATGTACTTCATAAAAATCTATTTGAGTTAATATTAGTTTTAAATGCCAATATAACTAAACTTATGTTATTTTCAATTTCAAAACAAGCCAAGCAAAAACTAGGTCCTGTTACTACTACTCATAGTGCAGAGATTGAATTAGTGTCCCAGTACAAATATCTTGGAATTTTAATTGATGATACACTTTCTTTTAGTACTCGCATTCAGCAATTGGTGAAAAAATTAAAAGTGATTTTAGGCTTCTATTTTAGAATTAAGAACTGCCTTTCTTTTGGTGCTAAAAAGAAGCTAGTTGAGGCAACATTCATGTCGATATTGGACTACGGTGATGTAATCTATATGCATGCTTCGTCTCAATGTCTGAATGCATTGGATACTGTTTACCATGGTGCACTAAGATTTATAACTAATTTTAAATCCTTTACTCATCATTGTGTGCTGTATACTAGGGTAGGTTGGTCTGCTTTATCCATTCGTAGGCTCAAGCATTTTCATATTCTTGTTTACAAATCTATACTGGGTTTACTCCCATCATATCTCCAGAATTATATTTGTAAAAAGCCTGTTCTTAACTATGGTCTTCGCTCACAGGATATTTATTTACTCTCTGTCCCTAAAGTGCGGACTGAGATAGGAAAAAAGACTTAAGTACGCAGCACCTTTTGCTTGGAATAATCTGCAAACACAGTTGCAGTTCAAAGCCTTGATTTCACTACATGCTTTCAAAAAGACTATAAAAGTTTTAGAAGTTGAAACACAGGTTTGTAGATGTTTTGAATAGTTGTCAGTGTGATTCATGTTAACTGTAAATTGTTTTTTGTTTGTTGTCTGTTGGACTCATGTGACTTGTGTACTGCCTAATCTTGGCCAGGACGCTCTTGTTAAAGAGAATTTTAACTGTTTCTCTTCTGGTAAAATAAAGGTTATAATAATAATAATGTGTATTTTAATATATTGCATAAAATACTATTAAAAGCGACATCAGGATGGTCATACATTTTAAAAATAAATATTTTTTAAAAATCCATTGTGGTCAGTGTAATCAATATTTGTTTAAACAGGATTACCTGGATGTATAGGACAGATGAGATCTTCTTCTTGGCTGATTTAAGGGCCCAGTGTGCACGCACAGCTCTCTGGATCTTTATTGCGGACAGATGATGGTAAACAGCAGCTGTGAAACGAAGGCGTCTTGCGGCAAAAGCCATTTCTTTTACCTTTAAAGTGAATATGTTATCACACATTAGGATAGGATTAAAAAAAGTCATTTTTAGCATATACAGTTCCCTCAACTGAGTCAAAAGTATCAATAAAAAAAGTTATTAACTTTTACCAATCCATACTTAAAACAATACTGCCTACAATTATGTGTACACCTATTCATATCGCTGTCAACACTGCCAATTTTACATTGTCCTGTTTTTTTGGGAGTATGCTGTTGTATGTGGTTGTATTTGCACTGTCTGGAGCCAGTGGTGTAGCGGTGGGGGACAGCGAGATCGGGGGGCCCTGTGTCATCGCACCTAACCGATGAACCGATTGAAGTTAAAACTGCCTACAGAAATGAGTACAGTGAATGAGCCATGAGGAGCTTTCATGGTGTTTAGCTATAGGAACTTACTCTTTAAAAAGTTATTAGTTGAGTGGAAAAAAGTGAGTAAACCTGTTGCCTTACAATTATTATATAAACGAACTATAAACATTTTAGTTAAATCAGCTAAACAGTTCAACAGGTTTACTCACTTTTTGAAGCAATTGGAGGGAGCACCATTGGAGGGAACTAAATTGGCTCCTCCGTTATAGCACAGTCTAATTCAGCAGAATGGAAACTACAGTGACATACATATCCAGAAAGCCAGTATTAGTCGTATCCAGAAAGCCATATACAGTCGTATATGTGTCCCACACTGATAAAAACACTATAAGGACACCTATATTTCACTAAAAAGTGTAAATTGGTTGTTTTTGCGTTATTTTAAGCAAATTTGTACTTCCGGTTTGAAACTAATTTTTGAAGCTGCATCACGATCATGACATAATAGCGTGTATTCCAGCGTGTAGACTGGGCGTCTGTGCCAGAGTGAGTCTTATTACGTCTTACAGTGTGATGCATTAATGCATGAGTAAGGCTTGGTTCAAACCAATCAGCGCGCTCTATTGTGCAACTTCATTAATATTCATTAGTGTCACCGTGTTTACACGACAGAGACGCCACGTTGTGTTGGCAAAACAAGCGTGAAGTGTTGCTTTTATAGTCTGCTGCCGTTAAGTTTTGTTTTCATTTTCTCTCTGTGAGAGCTCAGCTGGAGTCACGTGTGGATTAAGTGTACGCAACGCTCGACAACAATAACTTACGTGTCTAAGGAGGAGCATTGTTTACCTGAGAGCTGTTCTCATTTGCAAACGCTGAGATCCGGATTCGCTTGTAGTTTTCTCTTCATAAAGACGCGGCTCTAGTTGCTGGTGATTGTCCTGTCTCTACAGATTTGGTAAGTGAGCGACCAGTGCTCTTTGTTTATTCAGTTTGTTCGTATCGAACTAAGTTAACTATTGCACCGAGTGTAAACATGTTAGCACCACAACCAAACTTTAACCTTGTGTAGGGTTTTTACCGCATTTTGTGACCGGAATAACACATGCGGCTTTCTGACGCTACCTGCCGTGTGCATCTAAGTTTCCGGGAAATGCGGAGGGTTTTTTTCTCTCATTCGACGTGCGGTATCAAACATTGCATGAAAAATACACGCTTAGAGCAGATCCTCGAATCAAATATCTTGTTTGTCGCGAGGGGCATGAATGAATTCCCTGAATCAAAGAGCCAAACTGCAGTTAAAGTCCAACATTTAATAATTTGGCAAATAATTCGACTACAGATGTCCATGTAGGTTAAACACCATCACTTTCTCCTGTGTGTGTATTTTGACTCCAAAACTCACGCGTGCCCAAATAGACACTCCCACACCCTCCCACTTTAGTTCCTCCGACACTCCCCCCTAAACAGAGCTGGACACGCCTACTTTCATGGCCTTTTAACTGTAGACTTTGTGTCTGCTGTCATTTTCTTCTCTCGTAAGATTGAACAAATGACATTGTTTTCTCTGATTTCATACATTCTTTCTGAAAACTCATGGCACCCTGTATACTCCAGTTGTCAATTATAATGAATACACCGCTTACAAATGTAACCAGATAAATGGTCCGAGGAAGAAATAAGTTCCTAGGGAACTGGACTTGAGGGCTGGTTCCCATCAATGACTTCTTATAACTATCTGGTATGAAAGCACCAATACACCTTGCATCACTAGTAATTTCCATTGTGCTGGGTTTGGGCTTTTGTTTCCCCAACAGGTGTTTCTAGAACTAAAATCTCTGTTCCTGCATTGCAACTGTGCCAAAAAACATGTTCTAGAAACTATGAAAATAATTTAAGCTTGCCTGCTGTCTTGCAAGCCAACCACGCCACAAAGCTTGAATATAAATGGCAGCATTGTGTCGTCGTCTTAGATTTTCTTCCTTCACTCTGGCAAGTCGCAGGACTCTGAAATGCCTCTGTAAGGTTATGGCAGCATTTCTCTGCTGATGATAGCGCCGCCTTTGAATAGAGCCTCTGAAAGCTGACTGTATCTTCACAGCAGCTGTTGCTTGCTATGAAAAAGAAAAAACTGAATGTTAGCGTTGCTTGAATGAGGTGATAAAGTCAATAAACAATATTTGTGTTAATATTAATCGTGAATAATAAGGTTGTTTCTTTAGCTTCACTGGGTCTTTGGAAGTTAAATAATTTTTTCCAAGCACTAGGGCAACAGGATAAATGACCCATGTCAAAAAATAAACAAATAACACCAAGGTCCAAGAGACTTAAACAAACGAACGGTAGCACGAGAAAATTAAACAGTATAATCTTAATATCAACAATCACTAAATGCCCGGACTTTGAAAACATTTTCCAGAAATGTGTATTTACTTTACTCAGACTGTTTGTATTTGAAAAGCAAACTTCATTACTGCAAGGTCTCTTTTAGTAGTAGTAGTAGGCAAGTTTTTTTATTGAATTTTTCAACAAAAACTGTTTAACAGTCATAACAAACTAAAGATCTTAACAGAGTAACTCAAACGTATACAAGAACAAAGTACATGAAAAAAGTAGACAATACAATGTGAAATAATAATAATAATAATAAATAAATGAACAGATAAATAATAAAATAAATAGATTTTGGGGTGGGTTGGCTGAGCTTACAATTCAAGTATTTGAAATAAATCTGTCCCAAAATATAACAGTAATGGCCTCTAAACTTTAAAGAATCTATTATTTGAGCCTTTGGTGCAATATTTAGGTTTTCTAGCTTTAGATATGCCATGACTAGACATGAGCCAGTTAAATTTTCCGATGGTATGATAACCTTGAATAAAAATATCACATTATAAAACAAAGATTTCTTTAAAATTTAAAGTGGCATCTGGATATCTTTTCTGCTGAAGATATTGTTGTCTTAAAAAATTACCTTAGGAATGGTATTGCAGAAAATTTTGACGGCTTTAAAACCTTGACTTTTCCAAACTGCGGAATACCTTGAAAATGGTTATCGTCCCATGCCTAGCCATGGCATTTTCTACCCATTTAGTGTGTTGGTGGTTTAGTTAACTTCCACTGCAGAAGTATAAGCCTTCGGGCCAAGGTCTCTTTTATAGAACTAGAAACTATGTGCAAATCTGAGAGGTTCACTCACATCACATTTAAACATTTTTTTAAACTATCAAAATGTTTTACTCAAAGCTCATGGTATGGGTGTACATAAGTTAAAAGCTCCAGTTTCACAAGTACCCTAATAAAAGCAGATTTACCCTACAAAACAAATGTGTGGATTTTTTTTACACCTTGGATTTTACAAGGCAGTTTTCCAGATATTTGTGGCATAAAATAAATAATTTTGATGCTGCTTTTTCCATTTACAGCCATTTTCATTGACATATGATCTTTAAATCATTTTATCTGTTGACTTTTGACAAATGCATGTGCCTTCACAGAGTTTTGATTAAAATTTTAAAACAAGTTAACAGAATATACATTTTTAATGCAAAAGAAACCAGTAAAAGACAATACAAAGTGCAGCAGCATTTATTTCTGCGATACACAGTGCATCCAAAAATTATTCTTAGTGCTTCACTTTTTTCACATTTATTTGTTACAGCCTTATTCTAAAATGGATTCAATTATTTTATTTATCCAAAATTTTACACACAATACCCCATAATGAGAATGTAAAAAAAGATTTTTTTTGAAATCGTTGCAAATTTATTAAAAATAAAAAATAAAAAATGAAAAATCACATATGCATAAGTATTAACAGCCTTTGCTTAATACTTTGTCGATGCAGCTTTGGCAGCAATTACCTGTCTTTGGGAATTTTTGCCAATTCCTCTTTGCAGTACCTCTCAAGCTCTATCAGGTTGGATGGAAAGCAAAAGTGTACAGACGTTTTCAGACCTCTCCAGAGTTGTTTAATAGGATTTAGGTCTGGGCCACTCAAGGACATTCACTGAGTTGTTTAATAGGATTTAGGTCTGGGCCACTCAAGGACATTCACTGAGTTGTTGTAAAGCCACTTCATTCATTTTTGGCGGTGTGCTTTGGGTCATTGTCCTGCTAGAAGATGAACCGTCACCCCAGTCTGAGGTCAAGAGCACTATAAAGCAGGTTTTCATTCAGGATATCTCTGTACATTGCAGCATTCATCTTACCCTCTATCAATACTTATGTACATGTGATTTTTAAGGTTTTTTATTTTTAATAAAATTACAACAAATAAAAAAAAAAATCACAATCTCATTATTGGGTATTGTGTGTAGAAATTTGAAAAAAATAATTTAATCAATTTTAGAATAAGGCTGTAACAAACAAATTGTGGAAAAAGTGAAACGGTATGAATACTTTCCGGATGCACTATATAACTGAAGAACCCCTATTCTGGAAGCGTTCAAAAGAAAAGCTCAACATGTTTCACACCCTCTATTTTAAAATTCAAGCATCAAAAACCCAGGTGCAAACAAGCTATAAAACAAAAGTGACTTCCCTTATAGACATCAGTCACCCATTTCCATCTAATAAATATTTATTCCCACAAAAAAACTATTACCTTTTGAATGGAATCCCTTAGTCTCCGACCTCTCCACAACGCCTGGATGTATATAACAGACTTTATCAACTTTAGGAACTCAGCATGCTGTTTTCTTGAGCTGAGAGTTTCCCTCCATCTTTGCTGAATCACTCGGACACTGTGCTGGACTGCTAGAAATCTTCAAATTTAAAAATCAAAATTGTCAGGTTGCGACTCCTTGTTACACAAAGCAAAAAAATGAATAAACAAAATAATATCTTTAATTTCTTACTTAGAGCGTTGGCGTCTCGCTTGGATACATCTTCGAATGGTGGCACTAGCGGCTTGTTTTAAGATGTAGTTGCGTCTAGCAAGGCGTCCTCTGAACCAAGCCTGAATTTTCAGTGCAGCCTGTGCTTTCATTGCATTTTGTCTTTTTTGATAAGCTCGATATGCTCTCTGAGATTACATAAAGACAACCCAAACATGAACATTCAATACATAGTTAAAGTTGTAATATCTCAAATAGGGTTATAAACAGAAAACTAAAAGTCTAAAGATAAAACAGATATCACAATCTTACTTGTATCACAACAGCAGATTGTCGCAGCTGAAGAAACTTTGAACGCTCTTTCTGGCAAAGAATGAAAGCTCTGTAATGCTTCTGTATAACCAATGCACACTCCTTGAGTTGGTGAAACCTGCGTCTCTCAATCATCCCTCGATAATTTGCCTGTTTGATAGCAAGGGGGAAAAAAGTTTGGCCTTCCCAATTGAGCTCAATCACGTCTTTTGAATTTCCAAAGAAAATCATGTTGACAAGAGAGAATGCATAGTGATTACCTGAATGGTGATGGCACATGTTCTCAATCTCTGAAATCGTTTGTACGCAATGTGTCCACGTACTCTGGCCTGAAGTTTTTTTATGTTTTGGAGAGTCTTCAGATAACTGCACCTCTGCTCCAATGTAGCCCTATGAGATCTGTAATGCTTTTGAAGAGTAACAGTTGCAGCCTGCAATCGACGGTATTTTCTTTGGGCCACTAACATTCTGTAATGAGCTTGAAACTTCAGGGCACTTGCACGGAGAGTTACATAGCGCTTGCGTTGTATGTGCATGCGCATCACAGACTGAATCTTTATTGCAGCCCTTCTTCTTTTTGCAAGCCTCCTCACCAGCATTCCCCTCAAGGCAGACTGCAAGGTAAGCGTAGCTTGTCTAACAGCAACAAATCTTTTCCGATCCTCCTGGACCAGTTTGCGTGATCTGTACCACTTCTGGATGAGCACTGTACCTGCTTGCATTCTAGTATACTGAGCTCTAGCAAAATGACCTCTGTAGGCAGATTGAATTGCAATGGCTGCAGCCTTTTCTTTCATGAAACGCTGTCGTTGGACAGACATTCTTAGGAAGGACTGGATAGTTCTTGCGGCCTTGCTTCGTCTAGCCAATTCTCTCCCCTTCATCCCTCTGAAATACCTCTGCAGACATACAGCAGCATTCCTCACCTGTTGGTATTGACACACATGCTCATCTCGAAGTTTTAAAGCTCTAAACCTCTGCTGGAGAACCCTGGCTGCCCAGCGCTGTTTCTTAAATGCTGACCTTTGCTGATACATGCGGAAGCTGGCCTGTATGATAACAGAAGCTTCTTGCTTTCTTGCTAAATGTCTCCTGAGAGAGTGTCCTCTAAAAGCAGCTTGAATGACTATGGCAGATTTTCTCAAATGTTGATAGTTCTTCCGATCTGCTCTAGCCTGGATGTATGACCTGAAATGGCTCTGGATAATGACAGCAGACAGCTTCATGGCCTGGTACTTAACCATCTCTTTGTGTCTTCTAAAATATGATTGAATCAAGACAGCGGCTTGGCACTGTAGTTGCAGGTTCCTCCTAACTTTACGACCTCTATAGCACGCTTGTAGAACAAGTGCACCTTGACGCACTTTAAGATAACTCTTTCTCTGCTGCTTTGCTGCATTTACAGCCCGATATCTTTGCTGAATATCAATGGCAGCACATTTCATTTCTAAATACCGCTTACGTCCACTATAAGCTCGGTAAGTTGCCTGTACAATGGTGGCAGCCTGGTGCATTTGTTTTAAAGTTTGTCTGGTCTTCATGCCACGATAGGCTGCTTGCAGAATCAAAGCTGCACTTTTCTTTTCCTGTAGTGCTGCCATCTCCTGCCTCATGATTCTGTTAGCTCTAAAACGTTGCTGAACAGTACAGACTGCCCAACGAAGTCGCTGGAAGCGCAAATTAAGGATCCGCATTCTCACATGGGACTGAATGATTGTTGCAGCTTGGTGCATTTGCTTCAACGTGTGCCTGGTCTTCATGCCACGATAGGCTGCTTGCAGAATTAAAGCTGCACTTTTCTTTTCCTGTAGTGCTGCCATCTCTTGCCTCATGATTTTGTTAGCTCTGAAATGTCGCTGAAGAGTACAGACTGCCCATCGAAGTCGCTGGAAGCGCAAGTTAAGGATCCGCATTCTCACATGGGACTGAATGATTGTTGCAGCTTGGTGCATTTGCTTCAAAGCCTGTCTGGTCTTCTTGCCACGATAGGCTGCTTGCAGAATCAAAGCTGCACTTTTCTTTTCCTGTAGTGCTGCCATCTCCTGCCTCATGATTCTGTTAGCTCTGAAACGCTCCTGAACAGTACAGACTGCCCATCGAAGTCGCTGGAAGCGCAAGTTAAGGATCCGCATTCTCACATGGGACTGAATGATTGTTGCAGCTTGGTGCATTTGCTTCAAAGCCTGTCTGGTCTTCTTGCCACGATAGGCTGCTTGCAGAATCAAAGCTGCACTTTTCTTTTCCTGTAGTGCTGCCATCTCTTGCCTCATGATTTTGTTAGCTCTGAAACGTTGCTGAACAGTACAGACTGCCCATCGAAGTCGCTGGAAGCGCAAGTTGAGGATGCGCATTCTCACATGGGACTGAATGATTGTTGCAGCTTTGTGCTCTCTTCGGATCTGGCGCCGGACATTCATCCCTCTGAAACTTGCCTGGATTGCTACCACAGCTCTGCGTTTAGTCAAATAATCTTTTCGGTCATGCCTTGTAAGCAAAATGGATCGATAGTGTTGTTGACAGAATATAACAGCAGCTTGAAGGGTCAAAAAACACTTCCTTTGTTTGTAGGCAAGGTACTTTCTTTGAATGATTGTGGCTGCAAAATGCCTTCTAGCAAGATCACGGCGTGCAAGTTTTCCTCTGTATATAGCTTGAATTGCTACTGCACTCTGCTTTAGTTTTAAGAAGTTCTCTCTTGCCTTTTTTCTCAGTAAATGGCACCTGTACTGCCTCTGTATTACCAATGAAGCCAGTTTCATGGCTTGGAAAGGTACTCTTGTTCTGTACATTTTGTAAGCAGCCTGAATCACAGTGGCTGCTTTTTGTCTTCTATTGATTTCTTTTCTTGCCCTCAACCCTCTGTAAGAAGACTGCAAAGTGATGGCAGCTGCTCGCAAGGAGCAATACCTTTGATGCTGTTGCCTTGCACTTACAACTGCTCTGTATTGTTGCTGAATACGAATTGTGGCATTCCTAAGAGCAAGGTAATCATGACGTTGTTTGTATGCTCTATACATCTTTTGGATAATTTTAGCACATTTTTGCTTTTCTGCGATCTGCTTTCTCGCCACCATTCCGCGGAAAGCAGACTGAATACATATTGTTGCAGTTTTTATGGCTGCATATTGCTTCATGACAGCATTTTTGGTCACCGTTGCTCTGAATCGTTGCTGTAAAACTGATGCGGCCCACTGTTGTCTCCGGTACTTTTTGAGTTGGGAATGTCCACGGAAATGTGCCTGAATCACTTTTGCAGCTTGGTGAGATTTTCGTAAGTAGTTGCGAACTTTCATCCCCCTGAAAGCTGACTGAATAACTACGGCCGCATTTTTCATTTGTAAATAAGTAGCTTGCACAGTTTTGCCAACCTTATAGGCTCTATAATGCTGCTGTATAAGGATAGCTGCACACTTTGCGGCAACAAAAGGAATGCGGACCTTATGCATTCGGAATTGGGCTTGAATGACAGTAGCAGCTTGATGTTCTCTTTTTAAATTCTGCCTCACTTTGGAACCCCGATATATGGCCTGCATGGTTATAGTTGCCTTTCTCAATCGCATATAGTGGCTTCTTTCCATTCGTCCAAATGTAAAAGCCCGAAACTGCTGCTGAATGACAATAGCAGCATGTTTTTGAGCTAAAAACTGCTGATGGCACATATGTGCTCTCATCACAGACTGAATCAAAGTCGCAGCTTTGTTTTTCCTCTGCAGTTCTTGTCTTATTCTCCTCCCACGATACGCACTCTGTAGTATAATGGCCGCTCTTTTGATTTTGGTGTATTCTGCATGCACTTTCTGTCCATCTCTGAAAGCTCTGTATTGTCTTTGAATAACTACAGCAGCCCGTTTCATTTGCAAAAACCTTGTCTGTTCCAGATGCCTCCGATAGTTTGACTGAATGATTTTGGCAAATCTGTGGAGTTGACTGATCTTCTTCCTCTCGGCTCGTCCTCGCCACATTGCTTGAATTCTCACTGAAGCGGATTTAAGAGCCATGTATTCTTTCCGGAACTTGCCTCCATGCACTTTAGCTCTGTATCTCTGTTGCAGAACTATGGCTGATCTTTTCAAGCACAAAAAATGCCTTTGTGCAGTAAACCTCCTAAAGGCAGTTTGAATTACTAGTGCAGATCGGTGGTGTTGAGCAACAGATTTACGGACCTTCCAACCACGGAAAGCTGCTTGCAGAACGAGAACAGCCGATTTAATCTCAAAATACCTCTTCTGTTCTGCTTTCCTTTGCACGCAGGCTCGAAACCACCTCTGAATCAAGACTGCATTTTGCTTCATTTTAGATAACTCTTTCCTGATGAGGTAGGCCCTGAATGCACTCTGAATGACAACTGAAGCATGATGTCTTTTCTTTAAATTCTGAAACTTGGATCTTTGAAGGTGCCCTCTAAACCATGCTTGAACGCAGACTGCTTTCCGTTTCATTTCCAAGTATTGTCTTTTACACAGCTGCATTCTGTACCATGCTTGAATGCGCAAAGCTGCAGTGTTTCTTTCCAGCATTTTCTTTGCATGCCATTTCCGGAAAGCTGCCTGAATCACAAAGGCGGAACGGTTCTTCTTTAGGAGATTCTTAACCCTCCAAGCTTTGTACGTTTTCTGGTGGAACACAAGAAAATTTTATATTAGCCATTTGAAATCACTATAACAACATTATCTATTAATGAAAGGAATTCATAACAAATCAATACAGAATAAACAAATGAGAACCTGGATTAAGGTTGCAGCAGCATTTTGAAGTGCATAATGTCTCTCTTTTTTCAGCACTCTCAGCTTTTCCCGTGCACTGTACCCTCTCCATAATGTTTGGATCTTAACAGCAGCCTTATTCTGTCGGATCAATCTTCTTTTCAGGATGAACTTCCGTGCAAGTGCTTGTATTTTAGTGGCAGCCAGGTTCTTTTCCTGTGTATGTAAAACATATTTAATGACAAAAAAGGCTAAGCAGAGGAAAATTCCAGGCTGCTCGACATTATATAAACACGATTGCCTTACATGCATAAGCGCAATGTCCTTCTGAAGCTTGTATCTCCGCCATGCACCCTGAATGACTCGAGCTGCTCTTGTTTCATTACGGAGATCCAAAAGACGTGCGCAAAGGAAGGAGAGGTAACAAGTGACAACCTGGGTGGGGAAAAAAATGTTTTCCAATCAGGTCAAAATAGTATCACACAGTACAAAAAACAAATCATCTATACAACCACAAATAACATTTGCCACTAATCTAAAGTAAAAGGGGATTCAAATATTCACCTTTTCGTTTGGAATAGTATTGGACATGTCCTCTGGATTTATCATAGCAGGCACGCCTCCAAGATAAGACACAGCAGTGTTCACCAACTGAAAGTTACTTTTCTCATTCTCAAGTAGCTCCCTGAAGTCCACTGTAACAGATTCTGAACCAAAACAAATCATATTTAGAAACACATATACAGTTATAGCCATCAATTTTTTAAATTAATATTCGTTTACATGCCAATTAATAAGACAATGAAAGTAAATCTGCTTAAATTAAAATTGTGATTATTATATTTATTAAATGTAATGTATCTGTTTCCAATTAAACAATTAGGGCCCTATCATACACCCAGCGCAATAAAGCGCAATATAAAATGTTTGCCACAATTTGTTGCTCTTTTCAGACAAACACAACCCTAATTTTTTTATGTTTTGAGCCACATTGTTTAAATAGCAAATCCCCATTGTGGACTCATGAGTGTGTTTTTTCATGACAATTTGCATTTTTTTATTATAATGTTGTTGCTATTATTAGGAGTATTATTTATTATATGCAATTTATATTACATATTATATTTGTTTTAATAAAAGCATGTTTAGATTTGTCCACCTGTCGGGTTTTGGAGATGTATGTAGCAACATATGGGGTATAAAAATAGGACATGTGTTTCGATATTACATACATACATACATACATACATACATACATACATACATACATATATATATATATATATATATATATATATATATATATATATATATATATATATATATATATATAAACTCAGTTTTTTACCACATTTCGCTATTATTCATTTATACATTCGTTTGCTGGAAATTAGAACTGAATTTAGAAATATATTTGAAACACATCTTAACAAATTAAATTAAATATGTAGGCTAGTGGATGTCTTCAGTGGAGTGTGTACATCGTAACACTGTTTCCTTATTCACAAAAATAAAGGAGTAACGTAAAGAATAAAAAGAAAAAGCAAGTAAAGAGGCTGAATAGAGAAGCCTCATTCTTTATCCTCGCGCAGATGGTCTGTTTAACTGTTTTCTCGCTAGTAAAGCATTAAGTTTGTCTGTTCAGTTTTTTCAGTTACAAAGTCCGCCATGAAAATAGCAAATGTGCCATGGTGCAACAAAACTGACTCTTAAAGGGAATGGGAGATCTAATTGGTTTTTTCACAGATTTTTACCAAAATTCTCAGCAGAAATAGCAAAAAATGTCTGCAGATTTCGTCTGGCCCTGCCCATAACTCATTAGCCGCATTTCCACTATTGGGCCATATGAGCCAGGGCTTTAATCGGGCCAGGCCGGGCCAATAGCCCGGGAGGTTGAGTAATGAGGCTGAAATCATGTCGCGTTTCCACTGTCGGGCTGGTAGCAGCACGTCACGCAAACACCGCCCAAAGAACGTCCCCAAATCAAACGACACACAACCCGCCCACTTCAGCGGGAATGAGGCAGATAAAGCACACCATAAAATCATCACGAAACGAAACCATTAAAATGAAGACAACCGAAACAAACAAACGACACGTTACTGTACAGCAGTACATGAAATGTCAATACACACAGACCTGTGTATTTCCATTCATTACATTTGTTTACTCGCCGACCGACTGTTGGCATTGTGCATCGAGTGCTCTCGCCATTAACGGAGGGACCCATCACAGTGAGCGCTCACATCCATAATATAAAGCCACAGAAATTCTCCTTTATAACTCGAAATGGCATATTTTATAACATCCTCGTTTTGATAGACGTCGTGTTAAGTGTTTCAGCACAAGAGCGAGTAGCCTAATAAAATATAGCCATATTCGTTGCGCAGCTATTCACTAAAGCTCTTCATTTAAAGTTTCATTTATAAATTTAACCACATCATATAAAAAACATAAACACTTGTTTGAGGATATAGAACACATTTTGTGTTTGGACTTACCCCCAATGCGTTTAAAGCTACGCTGCGCAGGACTGGGTGACAGAAAAAAAGGTAGGCAAGATTCTGCTTTCACTCACCCAAATAATGCTCTGTTTGCGCGATTTGATTAATATCATCATTTCCAAATACTTTATAAATAATATTTCAAACCTCCTCCGGTGTTAATTATTGTTTTTAGAAAATATCTCAAATCTTTTTCTTTTTTTTTACAGATAGGTCTTTTGTAAAATGAAAGTTAGGCTATATGTGGCTTTAAAACGGTTTGATTTATGTATTGTATATAGGCTACCTACATTGTTATAGCTAGCTTTTGTTTATTTTATATTGGTTTATTTATTTAATGCGATTTTATATATATCGGATATTTGTAATTCTTTAAATTATATTTTAATATAGCTTAGGCTATTTTATCAAGATATGACACTATATTGTTTAAAGTCTCTCAAGTTTTATGTCTTTCTGTTGTATTTATATTGTGTATTATCTCCAAAATAAATAAAGATAAAAGCCGCTCGCAGCATCAACAGAGCTGTGAAGGAGCACTCTTGTCTGGCATTTAAACGAGCACAAACACACATTTTAAACTTGACAAAAACTCTCGAAAACCTTTATTGTCTGCTGTGTTTTTAATATGGTGTGATGATTATTATGCATTATTGAAACAAAGGAGGACGCAGCAAAGAATGTCACTAAAAAATAAAACTACTTTATTATTTTATACAGCAGCCTTACATTTAAAAGGGAAACATAAGGGTGATCATACGCAAAAAGACCCCAGACTATAAGGCTAGATGTTTTCTTTCCCTTATTTATTTATTTGTTTGGCGCATGTTCTCATGTGCAATCAGAAAACTGCCTGCCTCTCCTTTCACTACGCCCCAGCTGGCCCCACTTGGCCCAAAGTATTAGGCCCAAAGAAAGCCCCGCTTTGGCCCCGGAAGTGACATTGAAAACGCCACCGGCCTTGGCTCGCTCGCTTTAGGCACAATATTGGAAACGCGGCTTTTAAGAGAATAAGCACAACCCTGTTAGACCATGCGCTATGGCGCAGAACTTATTTTTCCATCCTTGAAATAGCAAAAGGGGATTCGGACAAGTCCTTAATGCTTTTGCGCCATGCACTTTAGACTTTGTGCCTATATGCAGCCCTTAAAGTTTACAAAAAATTGCACCATTACTCAAAAATCACATGAACTTGGCAGCATGATAAATTTTTTTGAAACAAAATGTGTCAAGATTTGGAAGCTTTCTGAGACAGTAGCTGTGTCTCATTTCAGAGACTGCATCCTCCGAAGGAGTCCTTCGAAGTCCACACAGGGTAAACCGAGCATTTTGAAATGAGACGATCCAGCCTACAGAGGAAGGATCTCATCACCAGGCAACCGTAACAGCTGCTGTTAATAAGCTCTGATATTTTCAAAGTGATTTAAAAACTTATTTTAAGCAATCAGAAGGCAAAACAAGGTTTACAGAAGCTGGAAATACATTTCCTTTGGTCCATACATGTACACATAAGAAATGTAAATCGCTATAAAATCACTCTTTAGTAAGACACGTCATACTCTTTTTGTTTTTTACATGTGTTAAGATATTCAAGTAAAATAAACTAAATTCATACATTTAAACAGGAGTTTTTGCGCAATGAATCTTGAGATGCTCAAGGCTGTGAAGGATTTGCAGCCTCTGAAAGGAGACACAGCTTGTATCTACAATAAATCTAAATAAATTTGAAAAAAAAGCATTTTCATCTAAAACACTCCAAAGTATTGTTTTTAATTGTTTAAAGTTGGTCATCCACACTAAAACTACATGAAAAAACATGCTTCGACCTGTGTCATTTCTGCCTGATGTTTTTGGGTTACTGGCTCTTTGAAACATTGTGGCAACATGTCAAGGAAAAACAGAGATTTTTTTAATGGACCAACAGTTGCTGCGAGTAACAAAGGAGAAGCTAGAAACGCTAGTATTACATACTGGGAGAAGTGCAAAAACTTAGATAAAGACATCACCAAAATAGTGAGAAACTTGTGTTTTTAAATGACTATGTATTAGTGTAGACATGGCCTGAAACAGTGCTTCAAAGAAGCCAACATAACTTTGGGCAACTCAACTCAACTTACCAGACTGCATTGTGGCCAAATTTTCAAAAGAGCAATCCGAGTCACTGGAGGAGTTATTGAGTTCAACTCTGCCACGATGACCACATTCAATGGTCTGTGTGGTTCTCTGTTGAATCTCCTCTGCATGGAGATGACCAGGATGATAATGATGGATGAGGTAGCAGAGGATACGACCATCTGAGAATGACACGGTGAAGTTTTCAGCCTGTTAAAAAAAAAAAAGAAAAGAGAAAGATGCTGTTTTAAAGAAAGATCCTATACAACCAGAAATATCTCTACACAACAAAACACAGGCTAATGTCGAAGGTGTTAAAGGTCAGTATGGATACACATCCTAATTTACCAATTTATCGACTACAAAGGATCTGATCTCCGTTTAATTCTAGGCAACTTGATATTTTAGCCTTGACCTCACTGTTAGATAGGTTTCATATACACTATTCGACCAGATCTTTAAGAAGCCTCCAACTTCCCAATAGTAGATAAAATATATATATTTTTTAATTTACTTTAAATCTTTTAACATCTTGGCTTCTGTTTAAAAGCTGCATCAGCCCTTTTTACTATTTATTCCGCAGATTTAGTCAAATTAATGATAATTTAGTCAAATTAATAATTCTGGACATGTGATTGGGATTGACAGATAATAAAAAGATTGTATAACATTTATTCAATGATTATTGTTAATTTATTTTTCCATGTTATTTTGTTGTTCATTTAAAAAAATAATAAGTAATCTGTAATAATCAGTTTTGTAATGGTGAGTGTTCTATTATAAAACGTTTGCACATAAAACTCAATACACAAGGAAACTTTTTCCTAATCACCTTCAAGCTGTAGAACTCACAAACAGCATTGACCCAGTCCATAAGAAGCGTCACTTTCTGACTGGGATGCTCAAATGCTCGTCTCGCCTTCATTCTCGACACCGTAACACTGTTGTTAGCCATTATTGAGGCCAGTTTCTGTTTTGTTCTCCAGGTTTTCCTGAGGAAACTGATTTCTTCTTTGAGCTGATTCTCATCAAGCAGCACTTCCACCTATGCAGACAGAAGTATAAAAACAGAACACAAGGTCTAGATTTAAGCACGTATAATAATCAAAATAATAAATGATCCAAATGAGGCTGGACTATATGGTATGGCGGATACCTGAAAGGCAAATATGATTTTCCACAGGAGGTTTAGGGTCTTTTCCCTATGTCCATCCACAATGTCTCTGGAGTCAATGTTTGCTCCTTCAAAATAGCAAAGACAACAAATGTAGAGCTTCCAAATACATAATATTTGATGAGTAACTGTTAGTTAGTTAGTAGTGATTGACCAAAACTTAAGCAACCTATAATATAATAGCCAAAATCACTGACCAGAACAGAAGAAAATAATTGATTTTAAGTTTATCAATATGTTGAATATATGCACTGTACATTATTTATCATTTTATACAGCATCATTTGTCAGTAACACTTTAAAATAATGGTCCTCTGAGCATCTACTAACATGAACTAAGCATGAACAATCTCATGCTGCATTTATTAATCATAGTTCAACCTTTATTGAGTTAATAAAATTCAAAGTTGTGCTTGTTAAGTTAGGGCTGTTGTAATGACTGAAAGACTGAAGGTTTTATTTTGCAAAAACAATCGTCCTGGATTAACTATTTTCTGCTTATTGCAAGGGTTCTTGCCACAAAACATAAAAATTAGACATTGTTCAGAGCTGAAATATTTAATCAAACGCAAAGCTGACAGAAATGAAAACAGTTGATGTAGTATATACTAACTTTTGCATTATTCAGTCACAAGATGGCGCCAAACTGTCAAAAACGCTGACAGAAACTAAACTGACTGAAGCATGTACAAAACTATTTATTATTTATTCACAAGACGGCACCAAACTTTCAAAAACCGCAACGTGACATACTTGCATAAACATTTACATGTGTCTGCTGGTCAATAAATTTGAAACGCATTCATTAATGGTCATGGTGATCCAAAGTTTTTGGATGAAATATTTAACACTAGCAGTATAACGCACCTTGAAATGTCACAACCAACCAATCAAAATTAAGTAACCCAGACAGCCGTTTATAACATTAGTTAATGCACTGAGAGTTAACGCTCCAACAACATTAGCTTGATTAACTAATATTAACTAAGATTAATAAACTGTTCATTGTTTTTCATGTTAGTAAATACATTAACTAACAAAACTTTATTTTAAAGCTTGACCTTTTTGTCTAGTTTTTGCAAGTCTGAATATACCTTTCATAAAAAAAAGCTATTAGGCAACAACCGCCTTTAAACTGTTTAGACTTCAACAACAATTTAGAAAAGATGCATAATTCTGTTATTAAAAGTTTACCTAAAAATGCCTTAAGAGCAATTTAAATGTTTGTACAACTTTTTTGTAGTTGATAAACTAACAAAAAAAAATGTTTTTTTTTAATCAGCCAAGTGCATTCCTGTTTCTGTTTTAGCAAAGAAATATATATTTCAGAACACCACTATTATCTCTGGAAATCTTTAGTGGTTATGCGTTAATATATTTTTCTTGTTTTCTCATGATCTTGACATATCAAAAGTTGTTACGCGCAGTATTTTATATCAAAATAGCTTCTGAGGGACTCACGTTTTTACATTAATAAAAAAATATGCATTAAATCAAAAGCACAATTATTCATCATAATCTAATTCACATATTCAGCAAACTTAGTGTGTCAGCAGGAACCAACACTATATAAAAACTGTGAGTGAATATTAAATGTAAATAATTCTATATACCATTAATCTAAAAATATACCATTAATCATGAATTTAAATCACATTTAATGATAATATCATATCACAAATATTTACATTAGATGCTGCCTATGCTGCTATTGTCTATTGTAAGGAATGCGTCAATAGAGCTGCCATTTTAGTACAGGGTAGTGTTCCTTTGAAATGAATTTGGGACCAAGGAGCAGGGGAGGACTGGCCACCCGGAGTCATAAATATATAGACATATACACATACGGTGGTCAGTATGCAAATATTTGTTTTAAATTACAAAATTATAATTTTACATTACGTTTCTATATCGAAGGATAAGTGATCGCCGACAAAGAGCGAGTGTTTGAGTGCATGGAAAGGTATTATCCTCCCTACCTGTTAAATTTCTAATCCATGTCTTGAAACACAGCCCCTGTCCAGCTTTCACTTCTAATTCTAACGGAGGGAGTGATTTGAGTAATGAACGATTCATGTGAACCATCAATATCCTTGCATCTCCACTTTTCTGATCTAAATGGTATATAACATTTGTAATATTCAATAATTTAGGGTGGACAGTATGCACATTGACGCACTGAGTTATGTTCTCTGGCATCATTAAAAGTTACTTCAAAAACTAGCCATTACTTCACTTAGCCGACAACAATACAAGTTTCTAGCACCGCCGCATCTTGTTGTCATATTTTATGTACATTGTTTGCTGATTTTATTGAACAAAACTAGCATAAACCTACAATTTAGTGCAAGTTGGTGCTACTTTGCCTTATGGTCAGTGCAGTAAATGACTGTATTATCATCAATATCGTTACTTGTTTAGCACAAAAGTTCATAACATACAAAAATGTTAAAAAACGAAATCTTAGCTATGAAATGTTCTGCCTTTAGGCTTTGTTTGCTCATTACTACACACATTCGCAGCACAAAAGTCCAGCATATTCAGACTGGCTTTAGACTTGACTAGTGCGATTAAATGACATTTGTCCTGGGAGCACTGTACAAATGTAGCGACAGCACTGACGCATGCTCAGAATATGTAGTGTATATGTCCATGATATCATATGATATTATTATATGGCTCTTCTGATTAAACGCCCCTATGTTTTGTCAAGATCACAAGTAATTTAAAGTCGTGATCAAGCAGAAACAAGGTTGTTATTTTGAGATAAGGAGAAAGAGAGAATATTTTAATACACGGCATATTAGAACCTTAATTATATTTCAGAAAAAAATACAACAATTGTATCGCTCACCATGTTCATCTCGAAGGTCAACACCTTTGTTTTTCAGAACCTGCAGTGCCAAATCAACATTATGAACTTTCTGCAGGCGGCTTATAGCAGGTATGCGCAGTTTCCGAGACAAAGTCCAGTCCAGAGTAAAGAGCTCCATGACCCGTCTGAAAATAAAAATATTTAATATCATCATTGGCCTGGGTCACAAAAGCCATATTTTTAGGACTCATGAACAAGAAACAAATCAAACATACACTAAACGGATGCCACATTTCAAGTCAACGGCGAGTTTTTTCACGGCAAAGTTGAACTCATCAAGGGGAGTTTGGACATGGGATACTGCGAGACCCAAGTGACTGAGGTGCCGAGACAGAATACCTTCACCACTGAGGAAGTCTCGTGAGAAAGCCAGCAGCAGATCTTTGCTTGACTAAATGACAAAAAAAAAAGATTATTTGCTAATGTGAATTTATTTTTTTACTTATATGATGCCCAAAGTAAAATAATAATAATAATAATAAATATAAATATATATTTAAAATACATACATTGTACACAAATAAGCAAATAAAATTACCTTAAATTCAGCATCCATGCAAAACAAACAAGGATCATGTTCAATCAGTCTGGATTCTTTAGCTTTGTCCAGAAAGCAGACCAACAGGATTAGTTTCTTCAGTGTAAAGCGAGACAGTGCCTCCTCATGGCCTGGTGAGAAAAAGCAACAAAAGTCAAATTGAATTAAATTTTTTAACCCTTTTCACATTTCTGGGTTTCTCAACAGCAGAAGACGTCATAGATAGGTAAACTTAGAGCGCAATGAATAGGAGAGTACAACAAATTATTTTTTTTCCAATCTTATTTGCTGAAAGACTTTCTGAAAAGGGAGGGGATTGTGTGAGAGTGATAGCAGCCAGAAGAGAGTCAAATTTGTCTAAGCCCCGTAGACACTGCATTAGAAACACCTCGCATAAGTGGTCATTTGTTTTTTTTGTAATTTGATGAAAAGATGATATAATTCTTACATAAATACATATAAATGTTCATAAAAATAAAAAAAATACAAAATATTAAAAACTTTCAAGGATTTAAGATGCAGATTACCATTAAACGTGTCATAACAGTCTTGTGAAAAGGGTCCATTATACAGTAATTAGAGCCACTAGCTAAAACAAATACATTAAAAACAACAATATAACAATGGCAGTAAATACAAATCAAATTACTTTAATACACTGTATACCAGACAGTAATGTTTATTTTTTTTATTGCAATAAATAAATAAAGACCCGCTGGTTTGGAAGTCACCTTTTTCAGAAATAATGCAAATGTCTAACAGGAATAGTCTAATAATGAAACATTTACAAATGTATTATAAACATGTATTTTAGTTTTGTTCACTCCAAACAAATCCTTTAAACTGAAAGTAAAAATGAAATCAAAACTAACCATATGAGTTTGTTAGCTCGCATTGCCTGTTTTGTCTTGAACAATTCATCTTTGCATGTCATCTGAAATCTGGAAATGCACATCCTACTTTTTTTTATTATTAAATTCTCAGATTACGTGATTTTGAGGTATTGATTGTGGCCCAACTATAACTGTCAGTTTTGACAACAAACCAAAATGGTGAGCAGGAGGTGTCTGTTAGGTTGTAATAACTATTGTAAACCCCATTTCTCATTTTTTTTTTTTTTTTATAAAATGCCTACTTTAGTACATCCAATCAGCTCGCAGCAGAAAGAACAAGCCACACCCACTGTTTTACATTTAATATTTCATTTTTCTAGAACCTGCATCATAAATCGAAAAATAAAAAGGTCGCAACATCTGATTCCTGTGTAATGAGCAATAAAAAAAAAATTTTTTTCAATTATTTTTATATTTATGAGGTATATAAGCTTTGTATTTTTTGGCTTTCTTTACATTAAATGAGGAATGCGTGTCACGTTGGAGTAAAGGTTGCTAAACATTTCTTGTGGGCAAAATTAAGAGTAAAATACAGTAGATATTGAAAATACAGTAAATTAAGTTACCATCTCTATACAAATGCGGCACTTTAGAGTGTCTGAACTCAGCGGCTAAATCTGGGTTCCACAGCAGACGCCCAAGAATAAACATGGCCAGTCCCATGACATCATTGTTGCTTTCCAGTGATATTAGCTCTCCATAAATTGTCTGAAACACAGAACGAGTTAGAGACGTGTCATGCATTGGATCAAAATGTGGCTGATTGAATTTTCAGCAAGTGATGAGACAAACAGTATGCTTTTACAATGAAAAGTAAATACCTCAAGTCCAATTCGCAGCCAAAGTGGATTGTACGATATGAGCCAGTTGAGAACTTTCTGGCGCTCACCTGAGAAATAAAAATTGAGAAAATAAGAAAAAGCAGTAGCTTAAGAAAATCTAATTCATTCATTAAAATGCTAAAAACTTAACATCCTCAGGCAAAAACCAGCTAGAAATGATATGAACAATAAAATAACATTGCTGATAATAAGAACTATAATTTGAATAGTATTATTCAAAAGGATCGTTGTGATTTTAACAATTATAATTCCAAATAAGGGCTGAACGATATTGGAAAAATCTAACAAATTTTGTTATTCATATTGTATACAAGCATAGATCAATAAAAAAGATACAATAGAAATACATTATATAAACAGTGTAAACAGTAATCCGATACAGTAATTAAACAATAAAAATAATTCAAGAAAATTAATCATGATTTAAGTTACAAACGGTACAATTTTTTATTCCTGAATGCTTTTAAAATCCTCATAGTCACAAGGCTCAAAACAAAATGCAAATTAAACACTAAAACCCAGACTCAACATTGTGCATCCTGCAATGTGATTATTGCAAATGATCATATTGAGATATCAATGCTGAAAAGATGTAATTGTCCAGCCCTAATTCCTAGAATTAAATTGACCAAAAGTGACATTGGCATTTATTATGTTTAAAATAAATACTTCTTAATTATTTATCATTTCTGAATCCTAAAACAAGCAAATCCTGCTTCTCAGAGAAATATTAAGCGGCACAGCAGATTTCAACAGTGATGATTAAAGCAGTTTTCTAGAGAATCAAGAAACACTGATGAGAATTTAGCTTAAAAACACAGGAATAAATTACATCTTAAAAATAAATTTAAACAGTCAACATGCATTTTTTTATTTTAATAATATTTCAGAAAAAAGACTGATTTTACTGGTTTTTAATCAAATAAATGCAGCCTTGGTGAACAGAACAGACTTTTTAAAAACATTACTTTTCCCCCCATTTTTAAACAAACCTATGCAAAAAAACAAACAAACACAATGTTAAAATACTTCAGCATCTCATACCTATGTCTTTCCAGAGATGTCTGTCTTTTCGCACAAGGAGTCTCTTGGCTTCTACTTCCAGTTCTAGCCTCTGGATAGCTTTCACCATGGCTTCTGATGTAAAAAGCTTGCAAGCTGCTCGCCTAAGGCGGTTGAGCCGTTGACGTGCTGTGTAGGTTCTAAAAGACATCTCTTCTTTTGTTGGTGCTTTTGGTATGTTGAATTTGTCGTTCCCCATAGTTAATGACAAGGCATTCACTAAGAGTCAACGAAATAGGTTATGAGACAGGAGCTCAAATTACTTCGTAATGTTCAACCTGAGTTGTCCAAACCCATAAAACTTTCATTCATCTTTGGAACACAACTAAGACTTTGATGAAATCGATAGCCAGAGAGATGTTGAACTTTATCAATAATGTCACAACTGTGGTTGAGACATTCAAACCATCTAAAAATTCAAAGTTTAGAAAGATACCAAGAACACTTTCAAAATGCTCCATGCGCATCAGCTAAAGACAAGAATCTGTTATTTTTTTGGTGAAGACAAAAGTTCTTGTAGCTTCATGAAATTAAGGTTGAACCACTGTGAAATACTTTGGCCCTATTCTATTTTGTGTACCCCTTGGTTTCGAGTTTGGTCTGGGAAAATCTCAGTTTAAAGGCTATCTAGCCCTTTCCCTTCACGTGATCATGCTAAACGAAAGGTAGGTAAGGGGAAGAGCTAAGGGGTAGAATTGGGATTGGACCTTTGACTCTTCTTGGTACCTTTCTGGACTTTAAAGGTCTTGGGACCCTTGTTGTTTATAAAAGGTAAGAGAGCTCTAGGGTTTCACCTGAAATATCTTCATTTGTGCTCCAAAGTTGAACAAAATAACTTACACGTTTGGAACAACATTAAAGTGAGATGAGAACTTTGTTGATATCCAATTACTTTAGGATACAATCACTCCAACTAAGTGCCTACCTTTGGTAACTTCAGTAGCAACTTTGAAGTCATCAGGAGTGAGAATGTAGTTCATCCACCAAGTAAAGCCTCGCTCTTGCTTTTCGATCCATCGCTCATCATAAAACATGTTTTTTGCCGCAAATGGCAATGGATGCCTTGGAATGGCTGTCAGGATTTTACAACATAAGTAACTATGCATCTTACAAATACATAAAATTGTATGAATAAAGCTGTAAAAGCATACCCGTCTGTGTCGGCTTCATAAAGGTCAGTCTGGCCTGTGCCACAGCTACTATCCTCGCAGTCTTTCGAGTTGAGCTATTGGCTGACTTCACAGACCGAGCATCTACATCAGTGAAACATGTTTTAAATCATATAGCTGACTGGTCATACTAATAGCAAGTGTATTTCAGGATATTCTTAAGAAGGATTGTACCTTTTTGAGCTGTTTTTGGAGAGATTTTCTTTGGTGGAAACCTTGTGAATTTTCTTGAGCTTGGGGGTGCTTTAAGAAAAAAAGTCTCAAATTAAACAACATCCAAACACCTCTTACAGTAAATCGCTCGAGAAATCTTGTGTAGATTCTGAGTTTTTCGCTATTCTCTCTTGAATTGATTCTGATAGCGTTGTATGCTTTACAATCAGCTTTATTCTGTTTGAAACTAATTCCTTACAAATACCACTCATACCTAAAAATATACTTAAAGCTTGAAATTGATTCAAGCGCATTAAGTGTTCAAAGTGAGTTGTTTTTACATTAATCTTATGACATAAAAGCCAACCTTCATGAATGCACAAGCACTCTTACTCGTAAGAATTTGAGCATACCATTAAAAACTAGCATAGAGTGCCATCTGGTGTTAAAACTAGCTTAGAGTGCCACCTGCTGTTCCCGAGGACTGGAATTGGGAAGCATTGGAATAATGCATTTTGAAAATCTCAGAATCAATGTCTCAAATGATTTTTTGCCACAGCTCTATTGCGCATACTTGACTCACCAACAGCTTTTCGTTGTGGTCCAGATGTAGACCTTGAAGTAAGTGTTCTTTCTTGACTTGGTTTCTCAGTTGCCTGCGCAGGAGCTCGGCATTTTTTTGCTTGGATGTTTGACTTGTCTTCTGAGTGACCTCTCAAAAACTCATCGCTTTTTCTTTTTTTACTTTGCACTAATGTCCTGCTTTGCACGGGAAACTGATTCTCCAAAAGATTTGGTTTTACTTTTTCAGAGAAATGACTGGCTGACAGCTCTAAGCTGCTTGACGGACTATTACTAACAGAGGGGAAAACTTGAGGTCGTATGGGAGAAATAGAGGACAAAAGTTGGTCATGAGGGGATAAATTTAAAGTTGGCTTCTTTTTTGCAACTGGACAAATTTTCGATTCCAGTGGCAGATCTGGACTTGAATCGGAGTTGATGACTGGTAGAGCAGAGAAGCTGTCAGGAGAACTTGTGTTGGATTCTGCATTACTAGGCTCTGAAAGCTCCAATGTCTTCTCCAAGAGTCTGCGCCTTGAGGTTTTCTTCTTACGCAGTCCTGGACTCTCAACAGAAGCATCTGCTTTGCTTTTGACCACTGTGGCAGAATTAACAGGAAACGTCTTGGGGTCATCTGGGACATGGGTGTCATCTACTTTAATTGACTTTGTCACTGTGGCGGTGCTAAAAGGTAAAGCCTTGAGCCTAAATTCATCTTGATTTGATGCAATGCCTATGGCTTTGTTGGGTTTCACACAGAAAGTCAACCTCGGGTCAGCAGTTTCAACTGGTGGTGAAATGACTCTTCTTGCTCTAAAGGACGCTCCTGGGTCCGGTTTGTCAGATTCCAGAGAATCAGAAAAATCGAAGCTTGAGCAAGCATTCGGTGGGCTTACTGTATGCGACAGATCTGATCCTATAACATCCAGAGCATCTTTTACAGACAGAGACAATTTCTCTGGCTCTCGACTTTTATCCTGCACAAATTGTCCAATCACAGGAAGTGGACTCTGAAAGCCTGACGACAATGGATTTCTAAACCTCTCTGGGGTGCTGGCAGGAGAGAGAGTTTTATTCAAAACTCTTGTGATTTCTCTGCACTCTATTTGACGTGAAGAAGGTGCATCCTTTTTACCTGGTGTATCAAGCAATCTTTCTGCTGGCACCAAGACAACCACTGGCGAGTCTTTTTGCAAATGTACATTATCAAAAGTTTCAGTTATAAAAGCAGGCTTTGGCATCTCAGGAGTAGATGATGGTGTGTTTACCCTTCTGGACCCATTTTGGTTTAATGGGGACAATGGGTTTGAAGTTCTGTCTTTTCTGTATTGTGACTGACGAGACACGTGAAACGTCTTATTTACAGATTTGATAGGCATTGTTGACACTTTCTTCTCTTTTGAAGGTGCAGGTACCCCCTTCTTGGATTTAATTGAATCCCACAAGGTTTTCTAAAAAATAAATATATATATATATTTGTAAGCACAAGTAATGATTTTTTTTTTAATAAATCAAATAATGAAGCCTATAACTGATTACCTTCTTCTTTTTTGTCGTCTCTGCTTTCCCAAGCAATATTGCTTGATGTTTGACAATGCCATTTGCAATAAAGCAGAGGAGTTCTCGAATCCCACCTTCTTCCACTGGTGTCCATGTAACAGTTAAAATGATACTGTCCTCAGGCTGGAAAATATAACGTGTGATATTAAGTTATTTATCCATATACATTCCAAACTTATACTTAGGGTTGGGAACCAAAATGTAACCGGTATGCACCGGACCAAATCAGCATATGATTTTCAGAGATTTTTCTGAATTTGCAACATTTTTCTAGAGACATCCACCATAATTTTATGGCTCAAAAGTATCCGTTCATGTACCGGTACCATTTTAACAGTATCAGTTTAGCACCGGTATCAAAAAATAACCCCAAACGATACCCAACCCTACTCATAGGGGCAATATGGCAAAAATCCAATTTCAATTAATTATTTTCCATATTGAACAATAACAATACAAATCAGTTGTTCATGCTTCCAGATTTAAAAGGAGTATCCCAACAATGACTGAAGCCACAAATTAGAGGGTCCTTTCAGTAGCATTACCTATTTTTGGTGGCCGATAATTTTTGGCAGCCTAAAATTCAATGCATCTCTAATATCAACACACTACTAGATTCCTATTGTTGCACATTTCTGCTGTGTGATTGGCTCTTATTTAGTAAAAAAAAATTAAAATTCCAGAGCTTATCATTGTTATCTAAATATAGTTTATTGTGATTGATATAATATTGTTTAGTGGCCCTGCCTTACTTATAAGACATCTAATGTCTGTGTTCAACACCATAAATCATCATATACTCCTAGTCCCTCAACAAAACACTAATACTCAAGTAAAGGCATTATAATTGTTCATATCCTATCCGTTAGATCATAACTATTCTCTAATGGGAAAGGATCTAATTCCAGGATCTCCTGGAGTTTTTATTCATTCAATTTGTTTTATCTAAATGAATGGTGGTAAAGCAGTGTGCATTTTAAGGTTCTGCTTGTTTCAGTGTACATGCTGGCAGAGGTATACATTCACAGAAGCTACAGAATTAGTTTTCATTGCACTTTCTAAATTTTGCAAGATAACAGAGAGTGGATTATTGATATAAGACCCGTCATTTTCTGTTAAAATTATGATAAGACAGACAAAAGTTGGCGTTAAGCCTAAATTCAAATGTGGGAAAACTTTTTATAACTTTGTTATATTTGCTTGTCGGGGAAAGTGTTACCAGCAGTTTAAACTGACAGATATTGAAATACAATAGAGTAGAAGGACCAGTAAAGCAGCTACATCTCTGCAGTGCACAGTTAAAAAAAAAGTGGCTGATTACCTCAGAAATATAGGCTATATGACATATATGGCATAATATTTACATCATTTTTGATAAATTTTTTAATGTGTGTAGCATGTACATGAAATATTTCATTCCTCCGCGTACCACTAGAAGGAAGCAAGCCTGTGTGCCACTAGTGGTACAAGTACCACAGTTTGAGAACCACTGTTCTTAGTGCAAAAAAGCAACAAAGGTTTACAACAAAGTTATCTGCAGAATTTAGCTCTTTAATGAAATTAAGACTTTTTGTTGTTCTTGTTATTTATGGCAAAATGATGACATAACTTTAGAAGGCTTACATAATAGTGACAAACTGATGCAAAAATGGTTATGGTAATTTTTCAGATTATGGTTTTGACAAATTCAGTCTAATGAACTGCCAAACATCTGTGTGTGTTTCACAGAATAAAGAAATGTTAACAGATTTGGATAAATAAATGACAAATTTAATTTCTTGCTAAACTACTAATAGCTTTGTGCATCAAGCATGACCACATGTGAAAAATAATGTTGCAATTAATAGTTTTATACTGCATTGTATTTACAACATTTAGTCAATGTGAATACTTCAGCATGATGTAGGCAGTATTAGCTACAGTGAACTGGCATAACGTTACTGCAATAACTACTGTGGTATACACCACAATTTACTATAGTAAAACTCAATTAAAGTGGTATAACATGCCTAGTTGTAAAAAGCTTGGTATTGGTGACGTTACATAAAATAGGTTACTATAGTTATTGTTTTAGTTACCTCATAAACTGAAGTCCTTCACTTTAATCTACTGTAGTAGTTATACTGTAGTTACTAAAAATTAATTTTTTTCTATGCAGTTGTGAACATTCACTGTGTATATACGTGGCTACAAATGGACATTTAAATTTGTTTAATATGCTTTCTATTAACATATTTACACATTTATGACACATAATCATTTGTATATTTGCTATTACCTGTATTGTGAACGACATTTGATCCACCGAAAAGCCCTTGGATGCTGAGATTTTATCCACAATGACTGTAGCTGTGGCATCATCAGTGGGATTTTCAATTCGTAAAGGTAAAGATTTCGAAGATCCCAACTTGATCGTCCCGAACGACACGAAAGGAGCTCTGGAAAACTGAAGTAAACTCAGCACAGGAATCGAACTGCTGTTTTCCTTACCGGATTTATCGCGACTACAGTGAGAATCAAGCGGTGGACTGAAGTCCAAACACTCCGATTTCGCTACTTTAAACGACATGTTTATGTTTATGGCTCATCTAAGCGAACAACGAAGTTGGTAAATCCATGTGTCAGTGCTGCTGAGCTGAACTACAAATACCGTTTCAAAACAGAGCACGCATTCGTACGTTTGAATTTTGCGTGCAGGCCAGGCGGCCAATCAGCTCTTTGCTGCTCATAGAATTGTCCAATCACTGCATAGAAGCGTAAAATCGAGCCAATCGCAGCTCTAGGATTTCTTTAAAAATCCGCAGTCACGCCCGCAATGCAGGAAACTGTTGCATTTATTTTAGTGTTGTACAGTGAATGCGAATATGCATTTTATTACGTATTTAGACCATATGATAAATCCTCAAAATTAATTACGTAACTAAAATACAAAGCTTAACTGAAGCAGTTCACAAATTGGGTCTGTTTACATTTTGTTTTACACATCACGTGTCTAATTTCAAACATTAGCAATTTTATCATGGTAAACAAAATAACTTTTTTATTTTTATTACAGTATTTGCCTTTTGTTATTATTTATTAATATGTACAAACTGGTAATACGTTTTTATATTTACAATTTATGCAGGTATTTTGTTATATTTCCACCTAAAAATAGTATAGTAACTTATAGCAAATACTATAGTGTTTTAAACCATACTAAAGTGAAGTACTATGGTAAGTTGCTATGCTAACACAATATTTATAGTCAACAAATTTAGTTTTCAATAGAAAATAGTAAAATTCAATACACCACAGTTTACCTTAGTAAAATTAAGGTATACTACAGTATTTATTGCAGTTTATCAGTTCACTATGCTACACTACAGTTTGCTGTATGATTATTCATTAAAAAGTGTTGTAATTACTAAAATAGGCTAAAGTACTTTAGTATGGTTCAAAACACTATAGTATTTATTAAATATTATTATATTTGTTCATGTGGTTTTTGAAGTTTATATTAATGGATTGTATAGAAATTGCCTATTAATGTTTTCTTCTTCTGTTTGTTACAATCCAAAATAGGTAAAAAAAAAAAAATCTCGATATAAGTTTGCAATTTTTTATTTAAGTTCAAAACTAAATTACATTATAAAGTGTCGTATTTATGAAAAAAATCTTTTGAACAAAATAATAATACATTTTACCTTGATTTCCACAGGACATTCATTATTACAATAGTTATGTATCATATTTTCATAAAGTTATTTAAAGCACAACAGTAAAGGTAAATTTTTTTTTTTGTAATTTCAATTTTATGCATCTTGTATTAGACCTATGTTCAAAAAATATAATAAATAATTAAATGAACAAACAAAATTAATTAAATTACCCATTCGGCTTGGTGCTCAGCAAGGTGTTTCAACTAAACGAAAAGCTGTGCACATTTTACCCATGAATCCTGGCAGATGGCACGAGCCATCTCTTTTGCATCAAATTAACTTTAAGAGCTATTTGACAAAAGTCATCAGTCTGTAGTGGATGGAAGGCCGTGATTACAAGTGGGTGAAAAGTACTGCTTGCTAGCATTTTATCCCTCATTTAAAATCCAACGTAATCATCACCCGCTAATTATTATTCAGACAGCATGCCTGATGGCCTCGCTCCCTGTTCAAGTCTTCACCAATCCCCAGAGGCCTCTTTGTATTGAGGATACAGAGAGTTGCGGCTCATTGGTGCGTATGTCAATGAGAGCGTGCTAAGACTCAGAGCCACAGACAGAGACACACACACACACACACTGGAGGAGTACACACACCGTCATCATGTCAGCTTGCCAACTATCACAATGACATCTAACTATGGATATGGATCTAGCGGTTTGGGGTTCAGTGTGGCTCAGATTGGTGGCTTGTGTCTTGTTTGTTCTGCTGCAATGGACAGAAAGTAAGTGGACCAGCCTGTTGCTTTTATGCAGTGTGATGTAATTGTTAGTCCACTTGTTGAATTATATAGTGTAGAGATTTCATTTTTATTAATTACTGTATTTATTATTATTTTACTTTTAGAGTTTAAGTAAATTTGGTTTTTATTTGAACAATTTTTTATGTTTTTAACACTTTATGATGATATATACTACTTGTGTGTGAGTGTGTATATTTATGAAATGCAAATGTAGTTCTTTTATGGATGAAAAGGACTACCGGATAGTTGATATTATTCCTTTTTGCTTTGAAATGGTTGTGTGTGTGTGTGTGTGGTCAGAGGTATCATAACCCATGGACGCATCATCCGCAGTGGCACTTAAGAACATAAAAGGCTTTGCATCAAAGACACTTGGAAACAGAGCTGCTCTTTTCATTCTCTAGACTCGGACACATTTAAAAGGATTGCTTTGCTTTCATCACAAGCGGCCCGGGCTGTTATATCTGTGCATTTTTGGTGTTGCATTGCATTTGAGTTGGATATTGTGTGTATCTGCAGAGAGCTGTTAATATGAACATATGGTTGGACGTCCAGTAATTGTGTTTTTGGGATAATTTGCACGGAGTCATGCTGAGAATTGGTCTAGACTGGTCCTGTAAGCTGATCTTACAGAATCCCCCCCAAAAGTGCACAAGTTTGATCCTAAAAACCAAATGGCAAACAGGCTGACATGCATTAGATGTTTGATTTAGGGTTAGTTCACTCAAAAATGAAATTAAGTTCTCACCTTGATGTCATTCCAATCCTCCTGAGATATTTGTTCAGCTGTGAAACACAAATGAGAATATGAAATCCGGGAGCTCTCTCATCCTCAGCAATGGATCTGTCTTGTTCAAAGTCCAGAAAAGGAAATAAAAAACATTCAGGGACTTTAGTGAAAAATTGCTTTATTTTTTACTTTTATTATTTATTCTCTTTAATGACAGGTCAGAATTGCTACAGGTAATACAATGTATTGCCATTATGGTCTGTTTCCACAGAGTGGTACGGTTCGGTTTGGTACGGTTCATAAGGCGTACCGAACCAAACCGAACCGATCGTACCGTACCACTTTTTCGCCACCCTTTCGAAAGGGTACCAAACACGAGAAAAGGTACAAAAAGGTGGAGCTAGACCCACAGCTGAACGCTATTGGTTTACAGAGATACATCATTCGCTTGCGCAACAAGCCAGAATGAAAACAAAATGCCTGCCATGTTTGAAATACACAGCCAGAGATTACAGCGGAATTATATATACATATAATAACGAGTCATGGTCGACCCAGGCTCACACAAACCTTGTCATCGTGTTGATGAACAGCCACAAAGTCATGGAGTAGAGCAGAATCTACCCTGTGCCTTAGAGTCAGTAGCATGGCCGGTATAAGCTTCTGACGATATGATAACCATGGATAAAAATATCACAGTTTGACAGTGTTGTGATTACTACTCTAAAATATATCATTTTAAATGTCTGGGTAAAAACAAAAACTTTTTCCCCTTTGATCATAATATATTTTATTTTGAGGAACATTTAAAATATTTTGTAACAGTTACCATGGCGGGCTGAATAATTCAAGGGAATTATTGATTTCTGCTGCCTTCATCAGTGTCAAAAACACAGATTTCTTTACAATTTAAAACAACATCATTGGATATCTTTTCTGCTGAAGATACTGTTGTCCTAAAAAAATTAATTAAATTAATGAAAATCGTACACATCCAGTGCCTTAGGATCGGTGTAGCAGCAAATTTGGATAGTTTTAAAACCTTGACTTTTCCAAATCGTGGTTGAAAACGGTTATTGCCCCATGCCTAAGCACAACAAACACTGTCAGTACTAAATACAATGCCTGTACTAAATACACGCTCCAATCTGAAGATATAGTCAAACATCGTTTTTTTAAAGTCTTTTGGGACAAAAAAGGTGTTTTTAAAGATCTAAATGATTACAGTTGAAACATTAAAGACACATGGAATGATTTTACAATGTTTTTTAGTTTATTTTCTGCACCATTGCTGTTTATGGAGGATGAGAGAGCTCCAGGATTTCATCCAAAACATAATAGTGGACTAAAATATAAAAACTATTATAATATCTTAATTAGTAGTTAAAGATGAACGAAGATCTCAGGGGTTTGGAACAACTTGAGGGTAAGCAATTAATAACATACCTTTTTTCTTTTTTGGGTGCACTAACCCTTTAAAAGTAGAAGAAATTCTATGCTCAAAAATTAAAGGTTTAGTTCCCCCAGAAAAGAAAATTTGCCATCCAAAATGTGCAACAATTTATTTATGTTTAAATGGCTTTAGCTTGGGGTGGCACGGTGGCTCAGTGGTTACACTTCCCCCTCATAGCACAAAGGTTGCTTGTTCGAGTCCAGGCCGGGCCAGTTTACATTTCTGTATAGAGTTTGCATATTTTCCCCATGTTGGTTTCCTCTGGGTGCTCCGGTTTCCCCCACAGTCCAAAGACATGTGGCACAGATGAATTTGGGTAAACAAGAATTGGCCGTAGTGTATGTGAGTGTGTGTGAATTTGAGAGTGTGTGGGTGTTTCCCAGTACTGGGTTGTGGCTGGAAGGGCATCCGCTGTGTAAAACATATGCCAGAATAGGTGGTGGTTCATTCTACAGTGGTGACCCCTGATAAATAAGAGACGAAGCTTACAGATTTAATTTATTAATGTCTTTAGCTCAAACTGTGGTCCTTGGAGATTCATAATGTACAAGTTAGCAGCTACTAAAGTGTTAAAAGTCAAACGTACAGCCAACATGAAGTTAATACTTGTGTAGGTCTTATGAAGCTAAACTAGCAACAGTTTGGAACATGAGCTTCTCGTCACTTGATGATGTATGCATGAGAGAAAGCTCTTTGTTTACAATCGAGAAGGTGGATGTGTGTGGTACTGCTCATCTAATTTACTTATATGGGCTTGTAATGGTTTCTGTAATCCAGTGTTTCTTAACCCTCTTATGAAGACACACAAACAGTACTCATTTTCAATCTCTTTCTATTCAAACCCTCCTGAATCTACTCATCAGGACATTAAAAGAGACTCCAAAATCTTAAATGAGTACATCAGATAAGGGAGACATCCAAAATATGTACAGTTGGTGTGCCTTCATGAACAGAGTTGGGAAACTCTGCTGTGTTCTATAAAAACGTTTTAAATAAAGTGTCAGGTTAATTCTTGTGCACACCTTGACAGTTTTAGCTTGCGCTTGTCATCAGAATTTTTTTTTGTCATTTTTGGTATCCTCACTTAATCAATGTTCACTGGTATTGAGCAGAGTAAATGTACCTAAATCACTGACTATAGATATGGCACCTATTAAAAAAAAAATTCACCGGTACACAAGGTGATGCTGCACAATTTTATGCTTCTGACACACATATTTTTTTACAGAAGTAGTAGTCACCCTCACGCTTTTTTCCCTTATTTGTCGCATAAGCTTTTCCACTTTTTACCTCCTGCACATACAACTCACAAACACACGGTCAAAAGTTTGTAGGGAAAAGTTACAAACCATAAAAGAAAATGAAATTCACCATTGAATCCAATTTGATCTGCAATCAAATTCACAAAAAGTGAACAAAAGCATTAATCTCAATCATAAAACTAAAAAAAAAATTAAAATATTAATGACACTTAGGGCTGGGCGGTTTGGCCTTAAAACATAAATCTCGATTAATTGAACTTTTAAACTCAATTACGATTAATAAACTATTCTTTTGTTTATTTAATTAATGTTATGCCCTCATAGTTTACTGACAGGTTTTGTACAGTAATTATGCTCACATATTACAAGTGACAGATTTTTTAATGAAGAGTGTTTTGCTTGATTTTAATATAATTAATTAAAACACCATTTAATTTTTAAAAAATAAATGTAATAAATTCAACACACACTATCTACGCTATCTATCTGTGAGTATTTATTGAACATCAACATTGAAAAACTGAAATTAAAAAACACATTGCCTAAAAAGAACTGACCTGGAAAAGCTATCAATTATAGATAATGAATGTCGTTTTTCGATTAATCGCCCAGCCCTAATGATGCTTTTACATCTGCATTTGTTAAGTCAAAGCTTTAAACATTGATGATAAATGTCAATAAAATCATCAAATTGTGCATAGGTCTTTACTTGTAAGTTTGGCAAGAAGACTTGACAAGAAGCTTAAACTCCAGACTAACAGTTTCAATACAGGTTGACTGTTTTGACTCAATACAACTCTGTGTATTGTCAGGAGCCAGGATTTCATGCAAGAATACAAATGCACTCACCATTGACTTGACTTGAAGAATGTTTGTAACCAAAAAGTTGAAGGTCAACACTGGCTTCCATAATAGGTATTATATGGAAGTCAGGTGGATGTGATTTTGCCAAGTAGGACACAATCCTGGATTAACATCTATGTGTGGATACTAGAACATCATTTTTGTTTGAAAATGTAATCCATACCTATCCCTACCCCCAAACCCAAACATAACTGTAAATTATTTCAAAATCAGAGGGGAATAAAAGTTGGATAACAATAAGAAGCACAAAATGGCCAATCGGAATGTTCATTCAATAGATAACGCAGTGGCACAGTAGGTAGTGCTGTCGTCTCACAGCAAGAAGGTCCTCGGCTGGGTCAGTTGGCATTTCTGTGTGGAGTTTGCATGTACTCCCTGCATTCGTGCGAGTTTTCCCCGCAGTCCAAAGTCCATGCAGTATAGGTGAATTGGGTAGGCTAAATTGCCCTGTAAATGAGGGTGTGTGGATGTTTCACAGAGATGGGTAAAAACGTGCTGGATAAGTTGGCGGTTCATTCTGCTGTGGTGTCCCTGCATTAAGAAAGGGATTAAGCTGAAAAAGAATGTATGAATGAATGAATGTTCATTCAGGAACATGCCCTTGGTGAAATCACACTAACCATAGGAGTCAACAGGGACCAAAAACCTTACCAATATTCTTCTAAGTATCTTC